ATGTAGGTGTGAATGAATGAATACCTGACCCTCTCACGAGAGAGGATATTTATAGCCCCAAACGCTGGGCTAAGATCTCTTTATTGGGCTGATCAAAGAGGCCCAACAAAGAGACTTCCAAGTTCTACGTGAGTAGTGGGGACCCGCACGTGCCCCCTACCTGGATGACGCCCTCCGCAAGATAGAGAGGATAAAGACGCGGTCTTTCCGGGACCATGAAGACTCCGCGCAATTCGGAGAGGTTGAAAGTCAGCCCTGCGAGGAGGGTGCTCGGAGGGAGCGCGTGCTCGTCGAGGACATTCTTCGCGAGCACCGGCGGGATGCAATCATGGCCGACCAGATACCTATGATCGGGGTGTGTTCGGTGGGTATACTGCTCAGCACAATAGGTTGGCAAACTTGGATTGGATCTCACTGGTGGTTGGGTCAAGGGCAGACCCAGTCCAGAACAACAACCATACACCATAATTATAAATAACAGTTTTTTATACCCACATACAACATCAATATTCAAAAAACACATCAAAATTATTTATATATTCTTCAAAACATAAACGTAAGACTAACAACAATTTTCGATATCAAATTGAACATCACCTCAAAAGATCATTAACATTGAGAGAGAAGGAAAAATAATAAATAGATTGAAGAATATATAACTTTAAAACTTAACTTAAGTCTTTTAACATTGATAATTTTTTTTAATAAAAAATCTTAAATAAAGGGATAAATAAACTTGGAGGAGATAAAAAAACTTTTGAAAAAAAAGTAATTGTAAAAGAAATGCATTTGCTATTATACAAATATAATGTAAAATATATTATTCACTAAATAAAATAGCAAATAATCTTATACATAAGTAATTTTAATTAATACATTTCACTCGCCAACAAAGTGTTCCCAAAATCAATTCATGTTAGTAAAGTAGTAATTGCGTTGTTAGAGATTTTATAGTCAAAGAAAAGAGAGAACAATTCAAAAAGGAAAAATAAAAGAGCAATTGTTAATTGAATAAATGTAACATTATACTAGTTGAATTTTGATAACCATTGTGCTTCCATCAAATTATCAGTGTCTGGGTGGTGTAGTCGGTTATCACGCTAGTCTCACACACTAGAGGTCCCCGGTTCGAACCCGGGCTCAGACAACTCCTTTTTCACATCAATTCTCATTTTTACAATTTTATGCTTTTCCTTTTTACCAAAGAAAAGTCAGAAACAAAACGTAACACCACTTTCATTTCCTTTTTCTTTTCTTCACTTTCACTTGTTCTTCACTTTCTTCTTTCCTTTCCAAAATCGCCCTTTCACTTCATATTCCTTTCTTCCATTTTCAATCATCGAAGTTTCTCTCCCAAATCAATGGATTGGGGAAACGTCACCGCCGAAGATCTCGTCGACGCTCTCCGCGAAGTCGATTGGTCATCGCCGCCGCGTCCTCTCTCCGAATTCTTCTCCCGATTCACCGTTCCACGATCTTCCTCCAAATGGAACAGCCGCCTCAAATGCAATCTCTACTAGTACCAATCCTTTTTCCGTTCTCGTTTCTCACTTTTGCTTATCAAATTTGAATCACTTTGTTATTTAGGTTTTTGCATGTTCTTTGTTTTACTGATTTTTGTCTGATTTTGAATCTATTTTGAGCTTTTACAATTTTCGTTATACTGTATATATCTGCTATGATAAGTTTTTATCATTTCGTTATTTTATTTTGTATAGATGATTCTATGAAAATTTATTAATCAAGTAATATTTGGGGAATTACTTGTTATTGTCTTGTGAATTGTGAAGTTATAACTGTTGTGAAGTTTTAGGGTTTGAAAGTAACTATGGTTATTATTGTTGTATTTGCAGCTACAGGACGAACTACTTCATTTTGATTGTTTCTGTTCTCAGTAAGTGAGCATGATGTGTAGTATTTATTTATTTATTTATTCAGATTTTATTTTTTGTTTTCATATTTTTTGCTGTGTTTTGCCTTAGAGTTTGATTATCTACACATTGAATTTTGTAGTATTGGGGTTTCTTCGGAGGCCGCTTGCTATTGTGGCTGCGCTTCTTACAGCACTAAGCATTGCCTTTCTAAATGACAGGTAAGCAGTTTTAGTGTGTTATTTACTGTCTCTTTATGTACTATGTTTTAAATTATTTGATTCGCGAAGTTGTTATTGTTGTTTTAACATATATCTTGGTCTGAAGGCGTTGTTCTTTGTGCTATTTAAGTGTGTGTGTTTTACATCAGTTAAGAACTTTAGAAGTTTGATGCCAGTTTTCATGATGTTAATCTGATTTCTTTTCTTGTGCTACAAAGATGACTTATGCTTCAACTTTTAAGGGAATAGGGAGGAACTTTACCCACCCCATAAGCACTTTGGATGTATACATCTGGAAAAAATGGAGTTTGTGTGCTGTCTGGATGTGTACATCTGGAAAAAATGGAGTTTGTGTGCTGTCTGGATGTGTACATCCTGCCTAAAGCAGTTTTTTGTGTATGTGTACTAAAGCAGTTTATTAGACGTGTCATCAAATTCACATGTCATATTTTATGGGGGTTTCTGTGTTAAGAAAGTGTTGTGATGCCTTTAGCAGAATGCCGAGTACTATATGCTGTGTGCATAGTATAACTTTATGCTTCAACAGGCTTCTTAGATAACTTAGAAAAAGGTGTGTATGGTTTGATTTTGTAGATGGTATATATTTACTATAATTGTAGGACCAAAGCCTATAATGAATCCTGTCTTGAAATTAAAATGATATGAGTCACTGGTAGTTTAGTTTTACTTTCAGATTTGTAGCAGGATAACAACTTGTTTTATTTGAAAAATCGTCAACATACTATTTTTAACTTGATTCTTATGGGAAATACAAGTTTTTAATCTTTTAAAGGGATGAACAAAAATAAACAAACAAATACATTTCAGTCTGGATTACAGGGAAGGTATTTATGATGGAAAATGAAGGGCTTTGATTAAGTTTAGACAATTAGACTTCAGTATTTTAGATTATGCACTGTGTATGTCTACTGGAACCAATTGTATTTTTACTCTTGCTCTTGATTTTGATATAGGTATTTATGTTCTCTTACTATCAGTACACTAGTTTCTTATTTAAAGAGGAAAAGTATTGACATAGCTGCAAAATATAGTAAGCTGCCTAAAAGTTATACTCCGATGACATGGGCTATTAGACAATTTTATTTGTCCAATTCTTTAGACAATTTATTAAATCCAGGGAACTGATGAGTATGAGAAGATTTGATATACAAAGTCTTCATTTAGTTTCCGAATCTGTCCCATTTTTATTATAATAGTAAGGCTGAATTTCTATATTTATTCCACATCAATCTAATGTGTTCCTTTCTGCAGCTTTGCAGGTACCTTTAGTGAAAAGGTGACAAGAACAGTCAGGCAATTTTCACCTCATTTAGCTGCCAAAATGAGACCTCCGCTTACGTAAGTATGTTTGGCTGTTATTATGATTGTGGATCTTTGGATTTTTCTGTATCTTTAGTAATTTTTTAAATTCCAGGCCTGTTATTCGTGGACGTCCATCAGCTAAGAGAGCAATTTATATTTGTGGCCGGCCTCGTTGGGTGTTCGTCTTGATATTTTCCTCTGGTAAATGAGTCTGAAACAGTTATAGTTTTCCCCATAAATAATTTGTTTTCGCCATATTAAATTTTTTGGATGTTCGCCCAATGCTTGATATTATTCCAATTTTTTTTGACATCAGTGCTCCTTTTACCCCCTTTTTGCAGCAAGTTTCTTTCTTTGGTTTGTTTCAGCTGGTCTCCTGACTGTTTTATGGGCGCTTGCTATTGGTCTTCTTGGTAATTGCATTTTGAGAAATTTAATCTTAATATTCTTTAGCCTTTTGTCTTGTTTTTAAGTTTGTTTTTCTCGCTTCTTCAGCTACCATCCTGCATGCCAGCTTTAGAACACCTAACCTGAAAGCACGTCTAAACACATTCCGTGAAGAATTTCGTGCTGTATGGCGCAATTACAGCGAGCTGTAGTTCACATAAAATTTGCTGGACCAGATGTAAGTGCTTTCTTCCGCAACATTTATATATATTTATATCCTATTGCTTGATAATATTTTGCTTATGCACAATATTTGTAAAATCCATTGGTACGTTGAAATGATTGAGAGTAGATATGTTTATTAATAGACTTATAGATTGATAGGCATCTGATTGAAATGTGCCATAGTATTTGGTTCAGGGGAATTGGAAGCCAAAGGCGAGGAGAGTGATAGGCATCTGATTGAAATGTGCCATAGTCTTCAAATTCCTTTGCAAGAAAATTGTTGGGATTCTTTCTATCAGTCCTTTGGGCATGAAACCTTTGTTGGTCCATAATATTTAGAATTAGACCCACCTTGCAAAAAGTCCTTCTTACTACTCCTTCCTCTTTTTCTGAATCCAATCCGCTACATAACTCTTTCTAGTAAAAACACACAACAACTTGGCTGATACATACTTTCCGCCGCTTGGTTGCTTCCACTGGTATCAGAACAATACCCCAGATGCACCCCAGGCATGCATGGCACAAGATCAGCGCAATCCATTGCAGTTGGAAGATTAACAGTGAGTGATGGAAGTGCTATGGTCTACTAACATAAATGTTGAAAAGTGGGGTGGCCTGGGTGTAAAAGCTTAGTGCCAAGCTCTCGAATATAAGCAAAACTTGGTCAATATTAGTTATGTATTTGCTCCAAATTTTTGTTATATTTGAAACCAGAGGGAGTAGTGTGGATGATAGTACTGTGAGACCCGTGGGAGAGGTTGGGTTGTTGGGGAAACAGTCTAGCCACCATAGGCATTAGGCCTTGCATCCCTTTACTTCTCTCTTTTTGGGCTAACTCTTGTACATCTATATCAGCCCAAGCTTTAAAAGCCTCCCTCAACCAACTAACACCATCTCAGTTTTGGCCCATTAGTTCAACACTTAGCTTTAATAGACAGATTTACAACCCCATCTTCATTATGGGCTTTTAGACCTAAATACCAGATCCATTTGAGCTTTGATGCATTAGATCAAACAAACACCTATTTTTGTGAATTATCCATTCTTCCCCTATTTTCTCTAGAACCTTCCCAAGTGCAAGAGTTTTGAGACATACTTGATCTGCCTGCATATTCACCGGAACAGAGATGGTGAATAATCATTCTTTCAGCATGACCACTAACCATGAATCACACTGAATCTCTCGATTAAAGCAGTGGAAAAGGACTCCCGTTCTGCATTAAATTTGGCCTATGAGCACGGACTCTGACACGGATACCGGGACACAACACCACACAGACCTTCCGACACCGATAATGTAAAAAATATTGGACACCGCCACCGTTACATATATGATAGTATTTGATCTTCATTTATTCATCTATATTTAGAAGAGTTAAAAATATTCTAATCAAAATTAATGTCTGTAATTCTTCATCGATAACATTGCTTCAGTACATGATTAACCCTTTTAGATGTTAGATTTGTAAAAAAAGTAGTGTGTTTGAAGCAAAGAAAAAAACAAATTTTTTTGAAATAATTGTCTGAATTGTCTGACATGTGCTGGACGAGTGTCGTACTGGTGTCACACCGATTTAAAGAGTGTTGAAGTAAAGAATAAATCCATTTTTAAGGGCACTGTCTGGGTTTTCCGACAAGTGTTGTACGAGTGTCAACGCATGTTGGACACCAACACTTGTCCGACACCGATGCGTACTAGTCACCTGCAACACGCCTACTCCTAGAGGTGTCTGTGCAACTTGGCACCAAGATTGAAACCATATCATAGATACTCCTTCCATTCTTATGAATGACCACTGGAGTTTATCACAGGTGCAAGTTTCGTTCTTCTCAAAGAACCTTTCAGCCCTCAAGATCCATCCAACAGGATCTGTTCTTATAAAACCTTGTAGTTTCTTAATTCACGAACTAATTGTGTATGATTCTCCTATCTCTAGTAACACTGATTCTGCCCAAAGATCCGATAGGTCGGACCAATTGATAGCAACCCAAATTCAGGACTAGACCAAAATTTTATTATTAATAAAAAAAGTAAGAAAATTTTAGAAGAGATCCCCTGTAATCCCTGAGCCTAGCTCAGATGAAATAATTCTCACTCTGCCCAATCCATAATACGGTTCCTAATATAAAAGGTACTGAAAATGCCCTATTATTCTACCCTGCATCCTATAATCAACTCAACTTTCTCTTTCGGCCATGTAAATGATTCTTCTCCCTTTCCTAGTTTCTCACTTAAGTGGGCCTTTGAACAATTGGACCTATGGGTGTAGATAAGGAACCTAATTTATAAAAATATTCAATATCTTACATTCTATTGTTGTGTTTCTCCCATATGTGGGTTTTATGAATTGTTTTAAAATTTGAAAATATGCTTAATATTTAGCAGTGTTAGAATAAGTGATAAATGATTTTTTGATCCATTGGACAATGCACATTTAAGTTGAGCTGAAAGTATGATTTCCTTTCCGTTTGTATCCATCGTTCATCATTTCTGTTTAACTATTGTGAAGTAACTATTCTAGTTGATGAGTGAAAGCGGGATCGGGTTTCACGAGTATGACTTTTGGCTTATATTATATATGTGATTTGTAAACTTGAAAATGTAGATTTATTCTGGTTTGATTTAGATTTCTGTGGCTTCACACTTGGATTTCTTCCATTTTTTGATTTGGGACTATGGCCCACTCCATTTTATTTTGGGATGTAACAACATAAAACTTGTATTTTCTTTTTTGTGGTATCATTTTTGAGTCAGATCGTGACACATTCTATTATACTTGATTATGAGGAAACAATGCATTTGTCTTGTAGATTTCTATATCTTGGCACCTCTTTTATAGTTGTTCCGTAATCACAACAATTGCACTAAATTGATGTGTTATAAATATTATTGTAGGTATGCCGTTTGCTGCATTTGAATGGGAACAATTTCTCTTGATTGGATTGGAACTTTCCAGGGAGGCTGCCAACTGTCCAACAGATTGTAAATGTCAGATGGTGTTTTTGTAAAGTACACTGTTTTCATTGTTTATTATCTTAGTGGAAGCATTGGAATATTGAAACATCCTGTAACATAGGAATTGGCACCATTATTAGTTTTCAGAATTCTTAACTGCTGTGAGAAATAGGTGAAGATACTTTCAATTACCTTTATGGTTCTTATTTGGTACTTTGGTTTCTGTTTTAGTAAAGATTACAAATATTTTTTATTGCCTTGGATTATCCACGTTTCTGAAGCAATATTTAGTACCTAAAAGGTGGATAGGATTTCAGTTCTTACATTCCATATGTTGACTTAGGATGTGGCGAGGATCATAAGGGAAAGAAGAAGGTAAAACAAAGTAGCCATGCCCCACTCATATTAACGTGATATACACCAAAATAACTTGTACTAGAAAAGGTGTTAACATCTTTCATTATTTATGTAGTTCTCCCCCAAAGTCTAGGTTACAATCTTGTCCTAAAGCATTGCCTAAAAAACATTGATTTAACTATATGCCATTAATAGATTTCATTAACTGACTGAATTATAGCATAAATTAGTTTATTAAAAATAAAACTATTTTTTCAAATATGAGGCAATGTTGGGCTTTCTTTTGTTGGCATTCAACACTGTAGGGCTTTTAGGATTCTATGTGAACAAGGTCTGTTCAGATCGATTATTGAGTTATATATTTATAGCTCTGGTCTCTTCTTTGGTTAGACTAGGTTTTTTTTGCCTATAAGTTTGGCCATATTCAATCTGGTCTTGACTCAATAGTGGAGTAGTGAGTGAATCACCTCTTAAATGAAAGAGATGTGATTAGTCAATTAGTGGGACTTGGAATTCTACAATTATGATTAAGGAAGTCCTGTTAATTTGCTCAAAACATGTCTTAACACGTCTTAACACGTCACCCCATTAAGTTGGGGTCAACTGGGAATTTGGGTACTTATTAGGGTTGAATTATATGGGTCAATGGCTATAAGATGAAGGACCTTCAAATGGATGAGTTGATTTGCATTTTAATATTTTAGTTCTTTTTTCGATAAGTGTTTTTTTTTTTGTACAACAAAAGGGTTCTTTTTATAAAGTAGTCTAAGGGTTGAAAATTTACTTTTAAGAATAAATGAAATGTCTCAATGTCTCAATTCGAATTTGTATTCTTATACACTAATTGAACTGATTTACGGAGCAAAATGTTTTTTTAAAAAATAAATATAAAAGTGATTTTCATATCTATTGTTCTCTTTTATGCTTACATTTATGTTTGTAACGCGTTTAGCCTTCAAAGGGACAATTACCAATTGTTTAAAAAAAAAAAAGACAACGACAAGATTCCTGTTGTAAGCATTTATGCCACATAAAAAATAATTTTAATAGGGAAAAAACTAAACAAATTTATTACTTTTGCTTTAGCCTTTAAAAGGATGGAAGAGCATATACTTGCCCCGTTAAGGTGTGAGTGTAACTATAAAAATCACAGGTTGGCCCCATGTTGTTTTGCACTCTTTCAAGCTGCCACACCATATCTCACCAAAACATCCCAATTGATACCATTATTCTCTTTTCCCTAAAGAGTAAAAATCCATCATAATACTCATAATTGATTATGTATATATATTATATGCAACGAATGGAGCTGAAGGTCAAAATCAGACATAGGATAATATATACGTGAGAAGAAGTGAATGGAGAAATACTTGAGTTGGGTTCAAGCTTTGGCTTCAGTATGGGGATTCATGTTGTTGGTGGCTATTCTATGTTGTTGCCTAAGCACCAAACCGCAACAAGGTGGTGATATCATCTCTGGCAACGGTGGTTGCACTTGCGACGGTGGTGACCATGGTTGTGTATGATGTTTTTTTTGATAATGTTATTTTACATATATAAACATAGATGTAAATATTTTTACAATGTTTTTTTACTTGTATAAACATAGAAAGCTGACTGTAGAATTTAATTTTTCCTCCTTTTATATAAGTTGATAGTTGTCGTTCTAAATTTGAAGTTTCTTTATATATATTAATTAAAATGCAATTAACATAACCTAATTGAAACTATTATTTAACTAAATTTATATACGAATCCATCTTTGCTTGACACTTTGGAGAGAGCACTTTCTTCACACGCAATACAATACAGTTTCATCAAGAAGAATGTTGGTTAGGTAACTTCCGGGAGTGAATTTACCATTCCAATCTTTTAGAGCAAGTTTGATCCTCATTTTATAATGTAGGTCTAATATATTGCGAAGTCTGAAATCAACCTTAAAACGAGTGTTTATATTAGAAAATCAAGAGTGAAACAATAATTGCTTAAGAAAAAGTAACACTTAAATTATATTTTCCAAAAACTATATTAAGTAATTTTTTTATATAGTGAGGAAATAGTTATTAATAAAATTGTACACTAATTGATAACTCCATCATCATAGTTAATAAGAGTCGCAAGTGAATGATTGAATGTGATTTGTGTTAAAAATGTGTCCATTCCATCTGCGATAATACTCTTTATATAATAATCTTTCCTTATTCTATATTTCATGTTTAACATTTATAAAGTTTATTTAATAGTCATAATTAAATTAAAAAGTATTTTAAACCGTTAAATAATTGTATTAAATATTATTTGAAAAATAGAATCAGATAATATTGTGGCTTTCACTACTCATATTAAAGAAATCTCAAAGTCAGAGTTATCCGATAATAATGAAGATATTAGTGATGATGATATATCTGATGATGCTCTTGTTGAAGCTTACAAGACTCTCTACCTTAAATGGATAGAAGAATCACAAGTTGTTAGAAAGCACAAGGAAATAATTGAGGTATATTCTTCAAGACAAAATTTGTCTCATGCTCACTATTTTAGAGTTGAAGGAAGAAGTTGGACATCTGAATTCTGGAACTGAAGTCTTGATGAAATTCTAGGAGGGAAAATCATCAAAAGACATGAATGGAATTTGATATACTAGTGAATCGTCCAATTCAAAGACTATGTTTGTTTCACCTATTCAAAAAATAAAATCCACAATGTTCGGTGATAAGTCGCAACAACCTACCACATGTGTGACACTATTATGGTCGACATGGTCATATTCGACCTTACTGCTATAAATTATATGGTAGACAATCACGTCACAATCAACTGCATCATCAGTGGAAGGTAAACTTCGATCCACATCTCCAATAATTATGGCGTGTCAAGCCTTGTATTATGGTTCATATTGCTTGTACCTCCCTCGAGATCTTATCTCGTGAAGATTAGTACTTTGACAATGGTTTCTCTAGACACATGACGAGAGAAAGAAATTATCAGAAAGACATCAAACCTTATTCCAACAATCATGTTACATTCGGTGATGATGCTAAAGAGGAAATTATTGGAAAAGGGAAGTTAGACTTTCTTGGTCTTCCTTGCCTTAATGACGTTTTATTAGTTGATGGCCGCACTGCTAATCTTATTAGCATCATTCAATTCAATGATCAAGATTTATATGTCAAGGTTTATGGAATGCACAATTTAGATAAATATCATATTCAACTTATGAAATGATCCATATCTTTAAACAACCGCTACATGTGATCACCTTCTTATAAGAGCCAATTTCAAATCTGCCATATCTATAAAATTATTGAGGAAAATAATAAATAGAACATTGAGAAAAACAAATATGTAAAGAGGAAGATGACTGTTGCTAATACTGTGGAGTATAATGTTGAAGGTCATGTTAGTTGTAACACCCTAACCCTAATACTTATATAAAAAGAATTATAAGCTGATTAAAGTGCTATCAAC